AGTACTTGTGCAGCTCGGCGAGCGTCCCGTTGATCTTCTTGTGCTGGGCCTCTGGCGCCGCTGGCAAGCGTGCGGCAGGCTCGCTGTCCTGACGATATCGACGTCGGCTTCTGACGCCGCGTGTTATGTTGTTCCCATCCTACTTAAGGACCACATCCTAGAAATAACTTCGAGCACCCGGAAAAGTGTCAAAAAGAGTGTCGAAAAGAGTGTCGAAACAGTGTCGGGCGAGTGTCCCCCAGGGCCCGACACGTGGAAACCCTTGCGTTTCGGTAATTTGTGGGGCGCTCGGAATTCTTCCTGGTGATCAAGGCTACGGCAGGTTCGTGTCGTGCCGACCCCAGCGTTGGTTTTTGACACCGCAGGGATCGTTCAACCTTGAACGATCGGCCGCTGCCGCGACGTCCGATCGTTCAACATCGACCGATTCTGGGTCGCCGGCGGCGTTCAACCTTGAGCGCCCGCGCTGGGGTCGCCGCTGGTCGACACGACGCAAACCTACCGTAAAGTAGGCTGGTTCATCATGAGCCGCGTGGATCCTTCCACCCCGAATGGTCGCGGCTCTCCCGCAGCGCCGATCGCCCGAGGTTGGCCCATGCTGGGCCAGCGGCGGCGTGCGGCCCTGGGCCGGGGCGCCCGGTGCTGCGCGCCTCCTGCGGCGCCGCGCGCACGGTGCCGCGCACCCGGCACCGCTCGAGAGAGAGGGCCCAGCGCACGGTTTGGTGGTCCCCAAACGTGGTGGTGAGAACACCCGGTGGTGAGTTTTGGGCGATTCGGGTAGTGGTTTTCGAGCGCTGGCTGGCCCAGGAGACGCAAAACCTCGTGGCGACCGCGTGTCCCCAAACCCAGTGGCGACCCAGAATTATTTTTGGGGGAATCGGGGTCACCACCGGGTGTCTCACCACCTGGTTTGGAGACCACCAAGCGGTGCTGCGCGGGCCCCGCTCGAGCAGGGCGGGTGCTGCCGGCGCCCGCGGCACCCGCCCTGCTCGAGCAGGGCAGGGAGGCGGGTGCCGCACTCCCGCCGCCGCGTGCCCGACGTGGCCGCAGCCCCGCCGGGCGTGGGGGCCGGGCGGGCCGCATTCCCCCTCCGCGAGCGCCGCGGCCTTGACAGGCGGGCTCCACTGCTCGCGAGGTGGCCGATCGCAAGTGGCCCGGAGCTGCCGCGCGGGGCCTGGCGATGCATGGCAGCGAGGCGAGCATGTGCTTTGCGGACGTTGGCGAGTAGGCACCTTGCGAGTAGTGGAACGCGCTCGGTGAGCGACATCGGCACGGAGGCGTGACATCGGCGTCGTCGGCGTCGGCGTCGGCGTCGTCGGCGTCGGCGTCGTCGGCGTCGGCGCCGGCGTCGGCGTCGTCGTCGGCGTCGGCGTCGTCGTCGGCGTCGGCGTCGTCGGCGTCGCCGTCGTCGGCGTCGCCGTCGTCGTAGTCGGCGTCGTCGTCGTAGTCGGCGTCGTTGTCGGCAGCGTCGTCGTCGTTGTTGTCGGCGGCGTCATCGTCGTCGTCGTCGGTCCCCCTCAGAAGGCGGCCGGGGCTTCTCAGAAGGCCTCCGGCCTTCTGGGAAGTTTTCGTTGTGTCTTCAGGGAGGGCTTAGAAAACTTCTCAGAGGGCCGGAGGGCTTCCGAGCCTTCTGAGAAGGCCCGCCCCTTCTGGCCTTGCCGCCTGGGCTCGCCGCCGACCGACTGCTGTCAGAAGCGGGGAACAGCCCACATGGAAACAAGACCCTGGCGAGCCAGCATGCTACTACTGACTACCTACCAGACCACCCCAACCCAACCCGAAGACCCGAATTTCGGGTTGGGGGGGGTACGGGTTCCATATGTGTTTTCTCGATGTTCCACGACCCCCCCCAACTGGAAACCGAGGATAAATTGGGGCCTTCGGGTTGGGTTGGGGTGGTTTGGTGGGTGGTGAACTACACTGCACTTGGCCGCTCACGAGATGATGCGCGTAACCCTGCCCGCCTCCGCCTCGGTCGCCCTGTGCGCCGGTCCACATCCTCCCGGGGTTGCTGCGCTTGCCCCTCGAACGTCATGGTTGCGGTGTCGGTGATACTCTTGTCGTGCCACGGCTGCTGAAATGTTGGTGCTGATTTTGCTGCTATTGCTGCTGCTCGGTGTACCGCTAGCGCTGCACCTGTGTTACGCACTGCTACTACTGCAATCACCCATCGTACCTGCTGCTGCTGCTGCTGCTCGCGAGCCCGCCCACCTCTCAAAAAGCCCCAAGCATCTAACGGCTGTGACTCAATGCCCAGCGAATGCAGTGGGCTCTATCCCAGCATGCGGCTATGGACGCAGAGCAAAGGTCGAGCCAGTCACCCGTAGCTGCCACCGCAGCACCAGGCGCGCAGCACACAGCGCTTTCATGTGTCAAGCGCGGAGGCACACGCAAATTCCAGTCAGTACAGACCCAGGCAGCGCCGCGATGGCAGCACCGCAGCGGACAACCAACAGGGGAGCAGTGATCACTGCGGCTGTGAGGGAGGCGAGCGAGGGGC